TCCTTGTGGATGACCCTGCTCATCACGGAGTCTCTTTGCAAGACAATCCTGGGTGGAGGAGGCCCATAGGACAACTTAGGAGGTGTGGCTTGGGCAGCTCAACCAGGCCTGTCGTGAGGAGCTTGAGAAGAAGACAAAGACTAAGACCCAATGCTGGGGATCTCCCCTGCCTTGGGCCTCAGGATTCATCTTGAGTATTTTTGCCCGTCTTTTTCCCTTCCCTTTTTCATTTCCATCCCTTCTCCAACCCTTTCTACTATCCACTTATTAAGAAGATATTAGAACCATGCTGAAAGGGTGAAAGGCTGATTTTGTGCCAGTCATGAACGTCCTGGAGGAGCCATGGCCATGGTAATCTCCTGTTTAGTTGTCTAGTCCTTAACCCTCAAGGGGACCCTGAAGGGTGGACTGTTTCTTTCCCCAACATACTCTAGGCTTACCATGACCAATAAAGATTTTATATCCTTATTAGGGGCAATGAGGTTTGCTGCTTCATCAAATAGCCCCACTGATTCAAAGTCTCCAGGCTCCCAGATCCCTGGCTCTTCTTTGACCACGACTCAGAACACTGCTACTATTTCCCCTCCTCATTGCCTATACTCACATCATTCACCCAGGTCAACACAACCTCCAGGAGACATTACCACTCTCCCAACATTCTCAACTTCATCCCCTCTACCCCCAGAACTTTTTTTTATCGACTACCCCTTATTACTACTTTGCAACCTTACTGACCACCTCTCCACAATAATACCTCTCACACTCCTTCTTCCACATGTCCCTGTCCTTAAATACTCTATTTAGCCAAGTCAAATGGGAACACCCCCCCCCCCTCAGATCCTTAATCTGACAACACTCCTCTTCCAGCATTGTCACCAAAAACACGCAGGCAAAGTTTCCTTCTGTGGCCACCCTGATCGTTCCTGTCTCATCACAGTTATATCCAAAACAAAAGCTAAAGGATTATCAACCCTGGCAGACTTCACTGTAAGCCCATTCCTTACTCGCCTGCCTCATGGACTATGATGCAGTATCAGCTACACCGTTCCCCCAAGAAGCCATCGTAAGAACCCCACCAACATTGCCAAATTTACTTTCCGTACACATGACTTCCCTTTAATGTTTAATGTTGGCATTTAGGACATCCACAGCCCGATGCCTTCTATGTCCCTAACCAGGTTATAATCGATCAAACTGCTTTGCACAGTCACACATGCCAATTGTGCCAATGAATTTTATAGAGGCTGCCCCTCCTACAGTTTTGAGTCTGAGATGGTAACTCTTAGATTCAGACTCACTCTACGTGGTCAAACAGGAAACACGTTTTTTTTCTCTCTCTCTCTTACTGCTTACTCCAATTGTGTTGATCATTCTGCCCTTCCCCTCCTTCCGAAGATGTTCCTACACCCTCCCCTACACCTATTCCTCCTCCATCTTACATTCCCCCATCTTTTTTTTTTAATTCCAGACACTCCAATCTCTACTGCTGCCCCAACAGCTCCCCCTCTCCCTCCCTGCAGCAGACAGTCTAAACGTTCCACCCTTTCTTAATGCCCATCATCTCCACTTACCTCTGTCTCTACTCTTCAAACACCAGTTTCCCCCCCACCCTCATAAGAAACCTTTGTTTCACAAAACTCCCCAACCAACTCCATTGCAGAAACTCTTGAAGATATTCAAAACCACAAGCTCGAGTTCAAAATCGACACAGAATCCTTCATCCACCCTCCAATTTCACAACTCCCATACTCTCCACACTCAACGTGACTGCTGATATCCATCCTCCTACAACTCATATTCCCCTCACCCCTTCCACCTTACGTCTCTTCCCCACACTCCTTATATGCCTCGTGTATACTTATCCAACAGAAAACACCTTATGTTATACACATCTTTCTTCGCCGCTGAATCACAGTTATTTCAGTCTTTTCCCCTTCCCACCCCATTAACTTTGTTGCTTTTGAAACTTTAATTTCTCAATTCCAGCAACCTTTCCTCATAGCTGGTGTTTTTAACTGTATATAAATTATATATATATATATATATATATATATGTGTGTGTGTGTGTGTGTGTGTGTGTGTGTGTGTGTGTGTGTGTGTGTGTGTGTGTGTGTGTGTGTGTGTGTGTGTTCCTTATACAGAAAGTCCCGAACTTACGAACATAATGGGGACCGAGAAGCTGTTTGTATATCCAAAGTCAGGTCTCCATTGCCTTTTTTCCCATTGTTTTAAAGTTTTGTTTACATTAAGAATACCTGTACATAAATCCCAATAAGTATTTTTGATGGATTGATGCACAGGTAAAGCAAATTATGGCACAAAAATTGGCGGTACACGAGGACACAGTGAACAGATGCTTTTGTGTTTATGGCAGGTGGGCAGGCAAGTGATGCGCACAGCTGAGTGAGTACGGCAGACTCGTAAACTATATTAGTGGCCTGGAAATTTGAAGTTTGCTAGCATCTTTCAAACAATTTTTTGGAATTAAGTATTTAAAAATTGTTTGTATGTATGGAATGTTCGTAAGTAGGGGACTTACTGTACTTGAAAAGGATTATATATATATATATATAATGTGTGTGTGTGTGTTTATATTGTCAGGCCCGTGTTAACCCTCAAACTGCCCCACACGCCACTGATGGCCCCCTTCATGAGGCGCACCCACTCTATACATCTGTCAACACATGGATCAAGGCGTCCCTTGTCGCAGCCCACGTGGAAACCATTAACCCGAATTGATCTGGGCATCTTGGAGAGTTTGATGTTTCATTGCTGGTGCCAGCGGCCCCCTCTCTCTCTCTCTCTCTCTCTCTCTCTTTAATGGCCTACTCCATCTTCATACCCTTGGCTCCCTCCCCCCGGTGCCCGGGACTCTAGTGATTAGCGCCTGTACAAACATTGACCTGCGTTCAGAACCGAACGACACCGATGTGCCCAAAAGTGAGTGATTCCGACCCTTATGGACGATTTTAATGGACTTTCCCCTCGACTTCCCATGGTGCCCAGGACCTTTGGGTAATCGCCTGTGCCGAGTCTGACCTGTGCCCAGAAAGTAACGACAACAGTGTAGTGCCCCCAGAGCAAGCAAATCCAACCCTTATTGTTAAATACTTTGAAACTACAAGTGAACTTATATTGTGATTATACTCAAAATGTTTGTCAAAAAATCCTTATTCTTAATTACTATGTTTGTAATTATTATTGTTGTCGATATTGTAGTTATTTTATGTTCATGATTTAATTGTATTGTCATGCCCAGTTTCCCCGACCTAACATGTGACCACAGGACCCTTGCCCTGCTATAAAACAGAAACTCTGTACTGACATTTCCCACCAAAATCAATGTTGCCATGTTCTTATATTTATTGAATTTTTGTGAACCATTCAAAATCTTAGAGAGCCGAAGTCACTCTGCCCTCAGCATCGGCTCGGTTAACATCTCTAGCTCCTGCAGCTCTGACCTAGAATAAACCCGAGGAACTCTGCCGATATTTTATTCACACATCAGTCGTAACCATTACACTCTCTCTCTCTGTGTGTGTGTGTGTGTGTATGAGTGTATGTAAGGAGCTTCAGTAGTAGTGTGTCTGTACCTCTGAACAGGTCACAGGGCATGTCAGTTCTCAAAAAGGACTTTCACTTTAGAGACTCAGAATCTTTCGTATGATTCACATATTAAGATAACCTGAGTGACCCGTGACCTTGAGAGTGGAACAATGTTTCCGTATAGAACAGTTGTGAACTGGCAAATACAAAGTAAGCCTAAAATGCGATTTCAAGTAATAGGCTAAATCTTGTGATATCACCAAACTGCATTTTCTAGCTTTATTTCCTGATCACTGATTTCATGTTCGTGGATTAAACAACTTAGCCTACGATATATAACAGAAAAGAAAGCATTACGTTACATTCATCGAAAACTCAGATTTTTCAGGATATATTTCTTGTTTGTGTTTGTGGAAATGAAAGGTATTGTCAGAGTATGGAGCTGTAGAAGGGATCACAAAAAATTGATCCCACCTGGCTGGGCTAAAAAGGGTGCTCAAAATGTTTGTAGACGTGGAAGGAGTAGAAGAATGTGGGGAAGGAAGATGGGGGGGTATGGAGAGAGGTAGTTTTGTTGGGAGTAAGGCAATTAGGATGAAGTGTAGTAATAAGGGGGGTGGGGGTAGACAATAAAGACTGTGTAGAAGACTGAGTGGAAGATGTTGAGAGAGAGGAAGGGGTGTATTCTGAAGGTTGAGTAATGACCTGGGTGGATGAACACAGACATTGAGGAGGGGGTATTAGTATCAGTCAGAGCCATGGTCAAAGACGAGACAGGGGTTGGGAAACCAATGAAATCAAATTTAGACAGGCTAGTTGATGAATGCCCCTAATAAGGGTAAAACATCTTCATTATTGGCCATGGTGAGCCTGTAATAAATGGGGAGAGGAAACAGGCAGGGTCCCCATGTGGGATCAGGGCTAGACAATTAACCAAGGGAATACCATGCCCATGGTTCTTGGAGGCCATTCATGACTGACAAAGCCAGCCTTTCATTCTTTCAGCATGGCCCTCACACCTTAGGAAGTGGGCAGCACAAGGGGATGATGAACAAGAGAAAGAAAGGAAAGGAATAAAAAAAAAAAGATCGTGCAAAATCAGTTGAGGCAAGGGCTGAGGTGCAAGGTATGGGTGTTCCTTACATTGGGCCTTAGTTTCCATCTCCCCCCTCCCACACACACACACACATACACAACAACAATGAGCAAGGGATTAGGGGGGAAAGCAGTTTGAAGAACCTTGAAGTTCAGACATTTTTAAGTCAAAAGTCAAATTGCCAGAATTGTGCATTGCAAATAACAAAAAAATGAGACTATGACACCTTGTGAATGTTCTTTCTGTGGAAATGTTTAGTTTATATGAAAAAATGTCTAAAGGTAGTTTTTTCATAAAATGTATTTTTTCTTTGTCACAGTTCTGAAAAATGATAAAAGTTTTGCATATAATATGAAGCATGTATTATCTGGGTTATGAAAAAATATATAGATTGGTTTAATGAAAAAAAAAATATTTCTCATGGTTTATTTCATGATACATAATTGTTTACACTATATTTGGTAGAAAATGTGAAGTGACGAGCGACATTGACCTTCAATCAGTAAGGCGCAAAGTCCCTTGTCGCAACACAAATTACAAGTGAGATGAGAGGTTCTGGTTGCCTGACACATTACCCCCAAATTGGGCAATTTACTATTTAACAGAATTATGACAACAAAATACTGTGAGTCCTGAGCATCTACTGCTTGCAAAAAAGTGAAAAATAACCAGAACTGTCTTATAACACTTGTAATCTGCCCTCAGGAAGAGTTGCTTAGCATTACTTTTCTTAAACACTCTACAGTCACCAAATAACAACATAAGCAAACCTAGCTTTGAAAATTACCATAAGCATCCATCCTTTATAGTTACATGAGACATTAAATTCAGTTCCTGGAGTTCACATCTTGTTCATTGCAGAGGTAATTTGCTCATCCTTAGGTCAAATCAAAACACTATTCCATGAATACTCCACAAGCCTAACAAGTATGAACTACCACTGAAACATTCATCTGTATCTTACGATATCACTTCTATGCCTTCACAATTGGGATGACATAAATAACTGGGCAAGTATATGGTCCCTTACAGCAATAAGGGCAAAACATAACCTATAACTCCACAACTCCTGGTAAATTGTTGTGCTGTCAAAATTCCTAACTTCAGTGAGTGCAATCCCCTGGTTTTGTGATGTGGAGAAAGTTCCTTACAACAAGCACCCTCCTCATATGGTAGAACTTGCATGCACAAGATCACTATACAATTTTTTTTTCTAAGCTGATATAAATTCATCTTTTATCTGATTCTCGCACAAATTGTCTTCCTTTAGGCAGATTTATATATTTAAAGCCCATGGTAACACAGGCTAACACAATTTCACAAAAGTATACGAGAAACAGACAGAAATTTCAAATGTTCAGAACTTAGCACTGTTATATCCAAAGCCCTTGCATCCCTTTTGTGTCAGTGGATCTTGATGGTGAAATATTTATAAATAAGTATCATTTATAAATATGTTATAATTCATATTCTTAGAAGATCAAGAATATGGAAATACATCTGCTGTTTCTATTCACATGTCTGATGTGAGGTATCAGATATTCAGTACTAGTTCTAAACATATGCAACTTCTAACAGAATCAAGCAACACAGCTTTCAGAGTACACAGAGAATGTTTAAATGTTTATAATGTTTATACCGGAGTGTCAACAGTAAACAACTTGCAGACTAAATTTGCATCATATTTTGTCACAAAGCTAAATTCCCTATTTAAAACACAGGATAAGTTAGCCTTAGAGAACAAAGTGCTATGATTACAACTTGTCTTCTTGTTAAACTGGCAATCAGCATACATTGATTAACTGATGAAGACACTTCATCACTTCATTAGTTAATTTCATGCCACTTTCCAAATGTTCAACAGTGATGTTTACCATGATAACTTGGTTATATAATGTCAATGTGGTACAATTCATGCAGTGGTAATACTTGAAGTTCTCCTACCCGCTACAGTATAATTAAACATCTAGCAATCCCAGTGTTTAAGTATCAATAACCTTTAATGCGTGGTTACATTGACATTACTATAAAAGGAAACAATGGCTGTGTAATTCTAATCTACAGAGAGAGACAAAACTACTGGGTAGGGGGACATCTCATATATGAGCCAATTCTGCTTTTCACTTCTAGCATGTTAAATAAAAAAACAAAATAGTGCATTTCTTTCTCTACAAGTAGAATACTCATCTTGGAAGTTTTGACAATAATTATAAGTAAAATACATACACTAGACTAAATTTTTGTCCACATGATGTTTAGTATATAAGAACTTGCTTAATTTTCCTGTTGTGAAGAACATCAAGACAAGAAGATCAGAATCACTGAAACTTTTTTCAGTGATGCCCCATACTTATCTGGACAAGTTTATCCCCCTAAAAAATTGTCAGATATAGTCATGGAACAAGAACAGTGATCCTGATCTTACATGGGCTTTTCATTATACTTGAGTCAGTCTGTGGATATCAGTTACATGTACACACAGATCTGCAAACTATATTCCTTTACAGTTTAATAGCTTCCACTAATAATGACTCAGAAAAATAAACTACATGATAAAAATTGGCCTCACTTCTTTATCACAACACAAAAGAGTTTATCACAGATTCTCTTTGTGTCAGCTAATTTCTTCATCATAAAAAAACTGATGACTCACTCTCCTGGTATTGTCATTTAGGAGCTTCTGCTGTGTCCCCCTCCCATTAGCACCCGTCCTCCCTGGTTGAGTAACAACAAGCACTGTCTACTATGAAGCTTAATCACACATATCCTATATGTATAGAAATGGTACAAAGAAATTAATAACAGATAGACAATACTTAACATACATACAAAAATTGTCATTGATGGAATTAAAATCCAAGAAAGGTGCTTTGAATGTCTTGCATGTATGCCTATATTGCCTAATACTGAGTTTTCAACATGGATTAATCCTACCTAAAAGCAGTAGAAAAAAGCATTCGTTTATCTACTCAAGAGTTTGAGCATTATATACTTTTGGGGAATTTCCTCTTCTGATCTTTTTATTTTTAATAGTACATATGCATAGATAGAAAGCATGACCTCTCTAGTTCTGGTGGTATTACACCTTGATATTATCATTACTAATGAAATGCAAATCAATAATGTAAAGTCTGCTTAGTTGAGGACAGGCAAAGATTATACTGGCAACATTTACTGGGGACTACATGGTCAACACTTGAGCTTATGTGACATGTTGGCATATTCTGGAGCCTTCACTGATCTTCTGGTTGAAAGTGGACAATGAAGGAAGTGCAGAGTGTTAATTGCCTTTTTTCTATCTTTCATTTACTGGAAAGGATGAAGTGTGCTTCCTCTCCATCCATCATCAGAGGCTCTATCACCCATCAACACTCTTGCAACTTCAAGCTTTTCTGCATGTCCACTTTGATCGACTCAATGAATAACCACCAAAACATTACCAGAAGATAGATAATGGCTATTGTCAGATACAGGAGAAATCTGCCAATAATGATATAGGAGTATGACTTTGCACTGACTTAAAATCTATCATTATATATTCACTTTCACACAATTCTAACACTATAAAGAAGCAATGCACACATACTTACACATCAACATTTTGTCTTAGAGTCATAAGAAATGTTTACAATGGAAATATCTTTAAGTAGAAACTGATTACTTGACAATGAGAATTTGTCAATTGTTCCTAAGATAAATGAATTCAATATACAAATAAAATATGACCTAGCGAGATGCCTTACAATACATTGGATATTTGGATAATGTGACTTTCCCACCAATTTTGTCTTAAGTTTTAAATGCTGATAAATATTTCTTTCTCCATCAGTACAAGATCTGCCACATTAAGACTCAAAATTGTTGGTCAAGTCATATATTGTCTTGCAAGCTGCTGAAATTAAGCAACACCTAGGAACGCTGCGGCAAAAGAGTTGACAGGGAGATAGCTTTCTGAAAGTGCACTAATAGAGATGCCATTGAAACAATTATGTCACTTTTTATATATACCTCAATAGGTTTATCTCTACTGCAAGCAAGATACTTTTTTAACTCAAAAAGATTGCATTAAATAACCTCACGTCATCACAATGTCATTTCATATCCATCCTTTGCCATTCTCCCTGTCAGTCTCATTAATGGACTACTGCTGGTAGATTGGAAAAAATGGTAAAACTGAGCGTAATGATTACATCTGCGTCACAAAGGTTCTGGCAAACACTGACAGGTTGATCCCCCGCTCCTGACTAGACCTTGGTTGTATCACAAAAGTATGTAGAACACCAAACAAGTCGAGAGTCACTCCCACATAGCACCGTCACGGATGACTCACAGCAATCCTTAGTTCATCTCACACTATCACACAGCACATATGGTCCAATGGCCAATGAAGACATTCTGTTCACTGCTATGGTTAAGAATTCACTGACGGTGTGGCCCTCAAATTACCGGTGCAAATTACACTGCAACAGAAGCATTTGCCTTCATATTCACATTTCAAACTGAGCACAGGGCAGAAAAAGAATACTGCTACTGTTACGTGATACACGACACTGCAAGAAACACTCAAAGCAAAAAACGTCAATCAGCTCGCGGTGGTAACGAGGGAGTACAACAATGGAGTTCACAGCAGGTTAATAATTCTCATGAGCGGGGGGGGACTGTGACGCAGTAACAATTAAGAAGACGTGGGTCACCCCTATGAACACAGAATCAGATATTCGATCTTCAACACAAGAGAACAACTGCTGCTGATTTACCATTTATTACAGTGCTTGGAGTATACATGTATTTAATGAGGTATCTGGAACTATTTTAAATTAGAGAGCTAAGATGTAAATGATGCACAATTTCCTCTGATATTCTATACATTTTATCACAAATACTACCTTCTTCCTTGTAGTATATGGCCTCCGCTATTAATGTCCTCTGTGCTCATTTCAGTAATGCGTCTAGGGGTGAGGGTCTATACATATATATATAATCATATCATATCTAGTAGCAGATCTTGTCTCAGTGTTCAGCTTGGGTGTTCAGAATCAATAATCAGCGTGCAGTGACATGGGGGCGGTAATCAGGCTGCCTCGTATGGCACGGGGTTTGGGAGGTCCTGCAGTGGGGTCTGGAGGACCTCACACATTCATCTCGTCGCTAACCATCCTTAGGCCTCCATTTTGAATGTGGGCAGCTGCTTCATTTCTGAAATATTTGGGCATAATGAGTACCATTTCAACTACAATAATCTTCACTATTTTTTTCTCTTGTGGAATCATTTGTTTGAGTTTTTATTTGCATTATCATTTTAGTTCATTGATAAAGTGATCATCTTATAAGCATTACTATTACATAGTTTTCTTTCTT